ACTGGACATTTTTAATATTATATTGTGGCAACTCTGGGAAATCAGATTGTTCCCCTTCCTGTTCCACAGAGTTTGTTGGTTCCACAGAGTTTGTTGTTGTTGTTTGTTTTACTACTTCTTGTTTTTATTTTTTTTTTATTATTGTGATAAAATATACACAAGACGAAGTTTACCATTATATCCATTTCAAGTGTGCCATTCAGTGGAAGTAAGCACATTCATGTTTCTGTGCAATCGTCACCACTGTCCCCCGTCAGAAATTTTTCATCTTTCCAAACTGAAACTCCATACCCTTTAAACAATAACTCCCCATTCTGCCCTTCCTCCAGCCACCTGAAACCACCATCCTACTTTTTGGCTCTATAAGTTTCAATACTTGTAAGTTGAACTAATTTTGTAAATTTATGCTCTTTGTCATGTGCAGCCACAGAAATCTATTCTGTTAGCTTAGTGATCAGCTAGTCATTTGATAGAGATTTTTAAACTCCAAAAAGCAAAGAAAGGAAGGAAGTAAGGAAAGAAAGAAAGAAGAAAAGAGAAAGAAAGAAAGAAAAAGAGAGAAAGATAGAGAAAGAAGGAAAGAAAGAAAAAAAGAAAGAGATGTTGAAGAAAGGAAGAAAAAAAGATAGAGAGAAAGAAAAAGAAAGAGATAAAGAGAAAGAAGGAAGGAAAGAAAAAGAAAGAAGGAAAGAAAGGGAAAGAGAAGAAAAGGAAAGGAAAGGAAGGAAAGAAGAAAAGAGAAAGAAAGAAAGAAAGAAAGAAAGAAAGAAAGAAAAAAAGAAAGAAAGAAAAAGAGAAAAAAAGAAAGAAAGGAAGGAAGGAAGGAAGGAAGAAAGAAAGATCCATAGTCTTTGCAGGCGGTGTTTTGGCATGCCTACAACATTCATTCTGACAGTTTATAGCTCCTCCTTTGCTTTGCCTTCCTGCTGTGCAGAGCCTCAAGGCAAGAGATTAGTGCCTTCTGAGGTCATCTCTGTGCATGCTTCTGTGCATATGTGTGACTTTCTAGATTCCCTGGAATTTGGAGGAGCTTTTCAAGGCCCTCATTCCCCAGACTTTCCTCCCAAACTTTTCAGGCAGCGCACTGTTTGCCTTAACTCTTTTCCTTTGCGCTAAGTTGCAGGGGCAAATTCATTGGCCTGCAAATGTTTGCTACCAGCCCTCCCCTTTAAGGTATCTGTCCCATCCCTGAGTTGTGAGTTAGGTGAAATAAATTCAAATCATTGGGCTGTCCTTCATGGAGCCGCCAGACAGGTCAAAGCAAACGACCCCAATTCTTTAGTAAGTTCTGTGCTACCCCTTCCAAGACTAGGAACTTGAACCAGGAATGTGGGCTGTTGTGGAGTGGGGGATGGTACCAGAGTCAAATAAAATGTCACAAAGCTCTCTTATTGAGACTCAGCTGGTTTTTATTTTATTTCTATTTTTGTTTTAGAGAGGTGGAAAGGCAGGGGGAAGAGCAGAGGGAGAGAAGAAAGCAAATTTCAAGCAGGCTCCATGCCCAGAGCAGAGCCCAACAAGGGACTTGATCTCACAACCCTGAGATCATGACCCAAGCCAAAATCAAGAGTCAGACGCTTAACTGCTTAACCACCTGAGGCACCCAGGCACTGCTGTCTTTTCTATGGTTGGGTATCTTAATAAATCATACATAGAAGGTGGGAAGAACAAAGTGCCGTGAAAACTGTGACTGACAGAGAAGCAGCAGTGACTCCCATCTACAGCATAGGGGATGTTTGGTCCTTTGGGTCCTTTTTTGTCTCTGTTGACGTGACTATGGACTGGACTTGTTTTGGTCTTGTTCTATCATGGTCGGAGAGTGGCTCTTTTAAAATGTTGGTGTTGTGTGTGATTTTTTATGTACAGCAGACCACTGTGGCCTGCTGGGAGGACCCTGCCATCTTCTGGCTGTCATGGACTGCTGGCAAGCAATCCCAAAAGAACTTGCACAGACTCAACTCATCACATTTATTCACTTGTCTGCACTTGTGCCCTTATATTCTTTAGTGATAGGAAGGACGACCAGTCCCACATTCCTATTCTAGGCCAGCCCATCCATTAGCATACTAGATTCTATCTCTTAAACCATTCAAGGTCTTCACTCCAGCAGCTCTTTCTATCTCTCCAGCATCAGAAATTTTTCCTCTCTGTTGGATCATTCCCATGAGTATTCAAATATGCTGCTATTGTTCCCATCTTAGGAAAAAAACATAAAAATTTGAAAACAAAGCAAGAAACAAATCGTCCTTTGACCCTAAGTCTACCCTCTGCTACCACCTGATTTCACTGCCTCATTTAGAGCAAGACTCTTCCAAGTAGTTGTTTATACTGCCTTCTACTCCCTTCCCTTTTCTCTTGTGTCTGCTTTCTACTTTTTGTTCTTGTTAAGGTCACTAATGATCTCCAGACTGCTAAATACAGAGCGATACAGAGCTATTCTCAGTTCTCATCCTGCTTGACCTGTTAGCAATATCTGACATCTCTGATTTTTTTCATCCTCTTTGAAATATTTTATTTGGCATCAGGGTGAGGTCTTTTACCTCACTGGCTATTTCTTCTCAGAGTCTTTGGTGTTTCCTCTTTATCTCCTCAGCTTCGAAATCCCTATTTAAAAACAATGTCATCCTTGGGTGCCTGGGTGGCTCAGTTGAGTAAGTGTCTGCCCTTTGGCTCAGGTCATGATCCCAGGGTTATGGGATCAAGCCTCATGGCAGGCTCTAAGCTCAGCAGGGAGCCTGCTTCTCCCTCTCCCTGCCACTCCCCCTGTTTATGCTCTCTCTGTCAAATAAATAATAAAATCTTAAAAAAATAAAAACTATGTCATCCTTTTAAAATTGGGTCTAAAATCTAGATTCATTGAGCCCGACCTCAGGATCTTTATTAGATTATTTTCATTTTTTCCCCCTTTACAAATACTTTAAACCATTTAGTGGGATGGCACTGTGAGGGGTTTTGAAATCTGAGCAAGATAAGACAGGTGTACACACAGAATGCAGTGACCATGATGCTAGGGCAAGGTGTATTAGGGTGGGATGGAGGAAGAGGGAGTCTGTGCAGGGGGCATTTAATATTGCACATTGAAGGAGAAATGGCAACAATTGGTAACATGTGATTCGGGGCTAGATTATTGCAAAGGATATTATTGGGACAATTGCTGGAATTTTAATGTGGTGTAAGAATTAGAAGGTAGTAATATAATGTTAATTTCCCAATTTTGTTGGTCATATTATGATTGCTGGAGAGAAATACTCACCTAAGTGTTCAGAGTTAATAGGGCACACTGTTGACAGTTTACTTTTAAATTGCTCAGAGAAAAGATATTGTAACATATTTGTAACTTTTCTGTAAATTTGAAATTCTTTCAAAATTTAAAGAAGTTTAAATAGTTTTAAAATACGTTATATAATAATCATATTCATCTTGTACCATTAAAAAATATTGGCAATATTAAGTTCTTTCAATCCAAAGTAGAGTTCTTGGCATGACTTCAATTCAAAAAGTAGGCATTTTTGATTCAGCCTATTCTTGCACACATGGAAGGAAAACACAACTTGTGCTAATTTTGCAGGAAAAAGACAAGAGTATATCCCTTCTTGATTATCTTATTAAGTAATTATTCTTTAACATGTAATACGTTTAAAAATATAGGCAGTATCTGACTTTTTGTGCAAGTGGATTTGACTCTCCCTCTTCAACTTTACATTATGATTATTTTCAAACATACAGAAATAGAAAAAGAATAACTGAATAGTGGTATACCCTCCACATAAATTGAATAATTGTTAACAGTTTGCTATTTTGCTCTCTCTTTCTCCTTATCTATCATCTTAATTTATATAGGTAGTTAGAACAAAAAAAAAATACCATAGGTTAGGTGGCTTAAACAACAACATTTCTCACAATTCTGGAGTCTAGGAAATCCAGACTTGAGACACCTGCAGATTCTGTGTCTGGTGAGAACCCATATCCTGTTCATAAATTGCAGTATTCTTACAGTGTCCACACATGGTGGAAGGGGGTTATGGGCCAATGTATGAATTTGGGGAGGACACATTCAGACTATGGCATCTCTATTTGTTGAAGCATTTGAAATCAAGTTGCAGGCAACATGATACGTCACTCCTAAATACCTGAGCACGAATGTTCTGGTAATAAAGACATTCTCCCAAGGGGTGTCTGAGTGGCTCAGTGGGTTAAGTCTCTGCCTTTGGCTCAGGTCATGATCTCAGTGTCCTGGGGTCAAGCCCCACATCTGGCTCTCTGCTCAGCAGGGAGCCTGCTTCCTCCTCTCTCTCTGCCTGCCTCTCTGCCTACTTATGATCTCTTGTCTGTCAAATAATAAACTCTTAAAAAAAAAGACATTCTCCAACATAACCATAAAGTATTAATAATTCATAAATGAATATCAGTAACTTTATCCACATATTGTTACTTCTTCCATAACACTTTCATATACATATTTCATATTCAGTCTTTCTCAATTGCTCTAGAATGTCTTTTATAGCTGTTTTTTGGGAGGGAGGGAACCAGGATCTGCAACACTCAAGAGCTTTTAATCAATAACTTCAAGCCCTTATTTGAAGGAACAAGACTGCCTGAGATTCACTTCTTTGCACACTGTAGCAGAGTATGTATTGTGAGAAAGAGAGGGTGAGGGGGTGCTTATGAGCAGTGACTTGTGCACAGGAGTTTGAGGTTGGGAGGTGGGTAAGGACGGGGGCTCATCTTGATCCCTAGTAAAGATTGGACTCCAGGCTAACAAATTAACATCACATCCTTACCAGTTAGCCCAGGGCAACTGCCGCCAGAGGGCGCAAGGCGCCGCCGCCAGGACCTCAGGTGGCCCTCGGAGGTCTGGCGGCGGGGACGCGTGGGGCCCAAAGTCCGGAGCGCGCGCCGGGGAGGGGGGTTGGGAGGAGGTGGGCGCGGGGCGCGCGCCTGGCCGCCCCCTCCCCGCGCGGGCGCGCGGGCGCGGTTCCGCTGCGGCGGAGGGAGCCGCGATGGAGGGCGCTTTGACTGTCCGCCAGGTAAGCGGCGCCTCGCTTGGGGCGGCTTCCCTAGCGGTGGCTGGACCGGCAGTTTTCTTCACCGTAGTGGTTTGAGCCCCCTCACATTCTGATCATTAATTCCTCCCTTCCCCTGCCTTGGTGCTCTTTGGAGTCACTTGGAAAATTGTTACCGAGGAAACGGTTTCCTGTGCTTCCTGCGAGCCTTCCCCTCTGGACGACGGTGGAACGTCGGCTTCTCTGTGGGCGTGGAGAACTGGAATTTGGCCCCGAAAAGTCCTAGCCCAGATGTCTCAGCCTCAGGCCCCACTGACTCAGGCTCCAGGGTCGCGATTCTGACCCGACATCCCGTCGGTCCATTCCCAACCGCCTCCCCAATCAGCTCTGGAATAAAGGGCCCAGAATGGAGTTTAAATCACTGTGCTGTCAACCAAGCTTTTGGTTTCAACTGGTTTTATTTGTTTACTGCCTTATTGGACACACGGAAGAACTTGCTGATTAAGATTCGGGGTGAAACCCTACTTTTGTTGCAGGGGCACCTGCACTGCTGAACACGGTGCTCGTTACTTTTACATATTGGTTGTGTGTATAGATTTTACTTTTGGAGAATTGCAATCAGTGCGATACCTTTTATCCGAGATGCATTTTGCAGCTTACAATATTGTAGAGGCATTCAAATAATTTTGTTGAATGAGCAAATGAAGGTCCTATTTCAATCGATTCTCACAACGTTACTATTAAATAGGCACGGTAGATATTAACAAACCCAATTATTTATTCATCCCTATGTCTGGTACTGGGTGTTCAGATAAGATGATGAGCAACAGAGACATGATCCCTGCTGTCAATGAGTTTATAGTCCAGACCAGAGAGCGTTATTGCCCCAACTGTAGAGTGGAGAAAACAGATTTAGAGAGACTGCCAAGATCATAAAATCAGTAAGTTAAAGAGGAAAGATTCTGTTGCAGGCACTCTATAAAGCCGGAATGAACCTCCTCCTCCTCACCAAGAATTTGATTTGGTATAGAATGATGCCACATACACCGCCCCCCACCACCACCCACACACATACCGTGAGTGTATGAAAAGGCTTATTACTTATATGTAATTTCTTATTAAATATTTACATAATGAAAAGGGAAGGGTGGGACAGGCTTCTCAAGCAGATCCTAAATGACTTAAAAGGGCAAGGAAAGGAAGCTAGATCCGGGTTTTTATTGAGGTTAAAGTTGGCATCTGGATGAACCTTCCTGTGTGTGGACTGGGGCTTGCTTGGTTTGACGCTCTCACCCACAACAAAGCTAAGATTGACCACACTTTCTTACCAGATTCCCCATTTGAGGGACAGAAGAGAAAAAGGAGGAGCTTAATGGGTGTCTGCAGGCAAACATAAAAAAATTGAATGAGACTCCTTACTATAATTCACCCCACATGTTCAGCTCATGACTGAAATGTACTATTTTTCATTTAGTTTTTGACCTTTTGTAAGTGAGCCGTCATGGCTGTCTGTGAGGCCTGCTGCCTGTCCCCCGTAGGAAGATGAAAGTTCCATTGAATGCCTTGTTCAAGAGCCCGATGCTGTATTTTGAGAAATAAAATGAGGGCTTTGGTCACTGTTAGTAAGGTCTGGAACTCTAACAAGGATAGGAGTGTTTTTGATGAGGCCTTTTATTATGGTTTTTGCATATGTAGAACCATGGATGTTCTTGATTTATATATATATATATATTTTTTTTAAAGATTTTATTTATTTATTTGACAGACAGAGATCACAAGTAGGCAGAGAGGCAGGCAGAGAGAGAGGAAGGGAAGCAGGCTCCCTGCCGAGCAGAGAGCCCGACGCGGGACTCAATTCCAGGACCCCGAGATCATGACCCGAGCCGAAGGCAGCGGCTTAACCCACTGAGCCACCCGG